ATGTATGTAGATACACAAGAATAGACTTTACTGTCATTGCACAAGGAGTACAACGAAATTTGCTGTGCCATACCTGAAATATTGAAAATAGACAGTATTAAATACACAACACATACACGTATACAATCATCCCAAATCCATAAATATATTTGAAAAATAAAATAAAATAAAATAATAATAACATTTAAAGTAGTATTGCACAAGTTGACCCATTATTGCATGCTTGATTCACAATATAGTTCATGACACAATGGTGGGACAGTGTTTGATCTGTTCAGTTCAGTGATGGCTCTCGGATAAAAACTGTCTTTCAGTCTGGAGGTCCGAGCTTTGAGTGCTCTGCAGCGCCTCCCGGAGGGTAACAGAGAGAACAGGTTATGACAGGGGTGGGTCACATCTTTCAGGGTGTTCTTAGACAATCCTTAAAACAGGATTGTTGTGGAACTCAAAATGTTAACTGTGCTGGTATTAATCTCTACACATCAGAAAATTAATAATATTAACTGTAAAATAAAGAAGGTGGAGGATTTTAAGTACTTAGGGTCAACAGTCCAGAGCGACGGAGAGTGCGGAAAAAGAGGTGAAGAAAAGTATGCAAGCCATTTCAGGCATGATTTGTTATAGAAGAGTAGCAGCAAGATTTAAAGGAAAGGTGTACAAGACAGTGGTGAGACCAGCGATGTTGTTTGGTTTGGAGATGGCGGCACTGAGGAAAAGACAGGAGGCAGAGCTGGAGGTAAAAGAGACGAAGATGTTGAGGTTCACTTTGGGAGTGACGAGGAATGAGTGCATCAGAGGGACAGCTCATGTTAGATGTTTTGGAGATAAAGTCAGAGAGGCCAGACTGAGATGGTCTGGAGGGATGCAGAGGTTGGAACTGCCAGGCAAGAGGCCTCGAGGAAGACCAAAGAGGAGATTTATGGATGTAGTGAAAGAGGACATGAAGTCAGTTGGTGTGAGAGAAGAGGATGTAGAGGATAGGGTTAGATGGAGGCAGATGATTTGCCGTGGCAACCCCTAAAGTCCCTGACACACCAAGCCGACGGTCGGCCGTCGACCAAAGTCGGGCCATCGGTGAGCGTCTGTCGCCCCAGTTTTTGCGGTGTGTTCCGCACCATCGGCCCTTCGGCGTTGGCGGCTTTTCGGCCGATTGAGCATGTTGAATCAGCGGCGGAGCTTGTCGGTGAGAGAGATAACTCTGATTGGCTGTTCAGGTTTTATTTCCTCGCCCCTGTAGCGAGTGAATCTGCCTGTAGTGAACTCGGGGCTAACTGGTGCTTCCTCCTCAGGCTCCACTTCACTCAGCTGCCCGACAGACCCACTGCTTCTTCCTACTTTAACCTGAATAACAAACCGGAGCTAGCTGGGAGCGGCTAGCGGAGCATTAGCCGCAGTATGACCGGAGGGAAGCACAGCCAGTTAGCCTCTGCTAGTCTCTGAGCTAGCCCCGGCTCGCCGTTTGGATTCAACCAGAGTACAGAGCCCTGGTTTGTTATTCAGGTTAAAGTGGGAAGAAGCAGCGGGTTTATCGGGCAGCTGAGTGAAGTGGAGCCTGCGTGCTACTTGGCCAACGGATGTAGTCCGTGTAGTGTGTTCAAATGCAACTGATACAAGGCAACGTGAGGCGATGTAGACGACTCAACAGTTGGCTTTCGTCTCCGCTAGTTCTTTGATGTCGGTTTGGTGTGTCCGCACCTTAAAGGGAACAGCCGAAAGAAGAAGAAGAACTGTAATATAAGGGGGAAAAAGCATAGTTTATCAGTATGCGATCCCTTAACTCTCCATATTGACATAGTTTCCAACTAAACTATTGACTTCAACAGCACAATTGAATTCCTTAAATTCAGTTATCACTTTTGATTTGGGTGTGCTACCCTACTAGTGACTGGATAATACCTGGTGATAGGGTCCTCAGCAACCCTACTCCCCACGTCCATGCTATGTGCATAAATAATAAAGATAAATAAAGATATTTAAAAGAGTATGTGCATTCTTTGCAGCACTATATTGAAGTATATATACTATATACAGTACAGGCCAAAAGTTTGGGCACACCTTCTCATTCAATGCGTTTTCTTTATTTTCATGACTATTTACATTGTAGATTCTCACTGAAGGCATCAAAACTATGAATGAACACATGTGGAGTTATGTACTTAACAAAAAAAGGTGAAATAACTGAAAACATGTTTTATATTCTAGTTTCTTCAAAATAGCCACCCTTTGCTCTGATTACTGCTTTGCACACTCTTGGCATTCTCTCGATGAGCTTCAAGAGGTAGTCACCTGAAATGGTTTTCCAACAGTCTTGAAGGAGTTCCCAGAGGTGTTTAGCACTTGTTGGCCCCTTTGCCTTCACTCTGCGGTCCAGCTCACCCCAAACCATCTCGATTGGGTTCAGGTCCGGTGACTGTGGAGGCCAGGTCATCTGCCGCAGCACTCCATCACTCTCCTTCTTGGTCAAATAGCCCTTACACACCTGGAGGTGTGTTTGGGGTCATTGTCCTGTTGAAAAATAAATGATCGTCCAACTAAACGCAAACCGGATGGGATGGCATGTCGCTGCAGGATGCTGTGGTAGCCATGCTGGTTCAGTGTGCCTTCAATTTTTAATAAATCCCCAACAGTGTCACCAGCAAAACACCCCCACACCATCACACCTCCTCCTCCATGCTTCACAGTGGGAACCAGGCATGTGGAATCCATCCGTTCACCTTTTCTGCGTCTCACAAAGACACGGCGGTTGGAACCAAAGATCTCAAATTTGGACTCATCAGACCAAAGCACAGATTTCCACTGGTCTAATGTCCATTCCTTGTGTTTCTTGGCCCAAACAAATCTCTTCTGCTTGTTGCCTCTCCTTAGCAGTGGTTTCCTAGCAGCTATTTGACCATGAAGGCCTGATTGGCGCAGTCTCCTCTTAACAGTTGTTCTAGAGATGGGTCTGCTGCTAGAACTCTGTGTGGCATTCATCTGGTCTCTGATCTGAGCTGCTGTTAACTTGCGATTTCTGAGGCTGGTGACTCGGATGAACTTATCCTCAGAAGCAGAGGTGACTCTTGGTCTTCCTTTCCTGGGTCGGTCCTCATGTGTGCCAGTTTCGTTGTAGCGCTTGATGGTTTTTGCGACTCCACTTGGGGACACATTTAAAGTTTTTGCAATTTTCCAGACTGACTGACCTTCATTTCTTAAAGTAATGATGGCCACTCGTTTTTCTTTAGTTAGCTGATTGGTTCTTGCCATAATATGAATTTTAACAGTTGTCCAATAGGGCTGTCGGCTGTGTATTAACCTGACTTCTGCACAACACAACTGATGGTCCCAACCCCATTGATAAAGCAAGAAATTCCACTAATTAACCCTGATAAGGCACACCTGTGAAGTGGAAACCATTTCAGGTGACTACCTCTTGAAGCTCATGGAGAGAATGCCAAGAGTGTGCAAAGCAGTAATCAGAGCAAAGGGTGGCTATTTTGAAGAAACTAGAATATAAAACATGTTTTCAGTTATTTCACCTTTTTTTGTTAAGTACATAACTCCACATGTGTTCATTCATAGTTTTGATGCCTTCAGTGAGAATCTACGATGTAAATAGTCATGAAAATAAAGAAAACGCATTGAATGAGAAGGTGTGTCCAAACTTTTGGCCTGTACTGTATATGTACTATTTTTGAAAGGTTATGGAAAATGACTTTTTGAAATCCCATAACACAGTATTTGAATAATCTCAAACTACAGTGGACTGACTTGATAGTTTTATATTTGTGTTGTAATCTACAAAACTACAAAACCTTCAGCCTGTGTAGTATCAGTGCTACATGCAAACAAAGTTAACACACAGCCTTGCCTGTCTTGAAGCAGACTTACGCCCTGGTGGCTTTAAGATTGTAGCCATTAGATATGACAGTTTTAATCTTTCTTTCTTTTCAACAGATGTTTGTTAGAGCAACATTTGTATCAGCTGTACTTTATGTAAAAGACTGGTTTTGTTATCTCATGTTTTGTATTAATTTGCATGTCTGTTTGTTTTTCCCTCCCAGTCGGCGATCCAGGCGGCAGGCTCGGCAGGCATGGAGCTAAAGAACATCTTGGAGTTCTACCGGCAGTGGAAGGAGATAGGCTGAGAGGTCAAACGGGGGCAGCTGTCGTCGCTGCGAACAGCTGATCGATCACAACACTCGCTCCCTCTCTCTCTCTCCCACTCTTTTGCTCTGTGTGTATCTGCGTCTCCAAAGGCAAAAACCAACTCAAAAGAAAGAAGGAATCGAAGGAAAGAGTTAAAGCTTAGAGGGGTGGAAAAGTTAAAACAGTGGAGTAAAAAAAAACAAAAAACATCAGAAGAGAAATGCGGGCGAAACGGCGCTATAAGAAAGAGCAGATCTCCCACCTCCCAATCCTAAACATAAAGAGTGACCCCCAGTGGTCGGGGTGCGGAAACGGTGGGGGAACGCTACACGACTTTTAAGTGCCCCTGGTTCACACCCTAACCAGGAATACACTGTATATGTTAGCCAACGAGTACATCCGTGTCGAGAGAGAAACCGCACACACACACACATAAACACATTCACGCTCAGATGAAACCATATAGATGTTTAGAGCAGTGGTTTGGATTTCCGTTCCCTCCTTCCCTTTCCCTTCAGTCTGTATCTGAGAAACAGGGTAAAGAATGTCACGTCTGGTAGGACTGCGCTTATGGAAAGTCGAGGGTGTATGAAGACAACTTAGAGACAGAGACAACACTCTGTCCACCTGACACCCGAGGCTTCCAGCCCTACAAAACAAGCCAGGCGTCTCATAGCTCATAGGCCTCTAGGAAAGGTTGAGGAAGACAAATGTACACTTCTCTGGGATCGGTTTCTATTCCTCTGTGGCTTTTTTTTTTTTTTTTTGGTTTTGTTTTTCTTTATTTGCGGTGTACTTTTGTGACCAGTGACTTATGTATTGTGCTATCTCTGTACGAGAAGAGAAAAGGAAAAAAAAAAACACAAAAACAGGTGTCGACCCTGTTAAAAGTTTTAATTTGGATTTTATTTTTGTACCCAAATGTTGTTTATTTTGCTTTTTGTAAGCTAAATCTGAATGAGATATGCAAGAATGTTTAAGGGAAAGGGAAGGGGTTGTTGTCGTGCGTTGATCCACTGAACAAATCCTTTAGTTCTGAAAAGTAAAAAAACAAAACAAAACGTATAATCCAGAATTTATTTATCAAGGTGTCATGTTAGAGGGAGCTAGAAGCTGATTAGCCTCGTGTTGTAGCTAGTCATCGAAGAGGCTCAGAAGAAAAAGGGGCCAACTGACTTTCCCAGAGGAATGTGGGTTGTGTTTGGACCCCTGTAAACTCCTAAAATGTATCCCATCTACATCACCATTTCCATAGTGACTGTCCCATCATGCACAGTGCAAAAGAAAACCAGTATATGTGTGTGGCCATGCATTGAACAATAAAAAGAAACTCGTATAACATGATGACTTCTCTCTTCTTCTTATCATTTTTCTGTAGCATCTAAAACACTGAATGAAGCAGTCTGACATTAAAAAATCTGTGCTTCTGCAACGAGCTTGTCAAAGAGGGGCTGCTTACTACAGGACCGACGCGAGAACGCATATTGCCCCATCTAGAGCCAGTTTGGTTTGTCCATTCTGAGCTACTGTAGAAACATGGTAATCTCCATAGATGTAGATCCACTCACTTGGGGTGTTTCTCAAAGTCAAGCATCCTTCCTTGGGAGAACGGGTCCTCCCAAAGAAGGATCCTCTAGAGGCAAGGCAAGAGTCCTTCCTAGCATTTGGTGAACACACATTGGAACAGAGTGTCCCCAGGTGTGCGTCATTAACCCTTAGCAGACTGAGGGGTTTTCAGATTATTGTGATAATTTTGGCACTCTCTAATGTTGTACAGCTTGAACAAATGTAGACCGTAGTTTCAGAGTCATGTGACTTTTAGGAAGAATATTTTTTGGATTTTATTTTAAAAAACAAACAGGTAGACTCATGAAACTTTTGTGGCACCTTGCACTCTATCACGGCTGTAAATGATTACAAACTTTTATGTCTTAATCAAGGTGTTTTAAAAATCTCATTATGTGGCAGTGGACACATTGGAAAGCGGAAATGATGAGGTTTCTGTCAATGTCTTATGCTTGTATGATAAAAACCCCTGGAGATATTAATCCAAATAAATGACATATTTATCTAAATCCTGAAGATGCCGTGCCTTCACATCTAGCAAATCGTGTGCAAAGAATTGTGGGTACACATGTATCCTTTAAAATTCTCTGAATGAAGGACTGTCCTCGGTAGAATTTGAAGGATCCTTAGCATTGGAACAGTCCTTCGGCAAGGTTCGATGACGTAGCCTCCTTGAAATTCGTCCGTTTCAGGATCCTTCCATGACTTTGAGAAACAAATCCTGTCCTTGGCAGAATTTGAAGGATCCTTGACATTGGAACAGCCCTGAGGCAGGATTTGATGATGTAGCATCCTTGAAATTCAGCAATTCAAGGATCCTTCCTTGCCTTTAAGAAACACCCCCTACGTAGATACAAACAGCTCATTCTAAGGTAACGAAAACTCTTACTTTCAGGTACTAGTGAGACATCAAATACCATCCTGGAAGTCCAGCTCAGATCTGTGAATCTGAAGGCTTCTCAGACACCAAAGCTCTACACAGAGGGTTAATAATAATCAGAGACATTTCAACTATGAGGTCTTTCTGCCTCTTCTCTCAAACTAGGTCTCCATGTGACATTCTTTTTGTTTTGTTTCTCTCCCTTCCATCTCTTGTGTTCCCCTCTGTCCTGGGCCCCATGCCCACCACTGACCGAGCACACAGAATGACCAATCCCCTGGCAGCGGGTTCAGTGCCACTCCAACAGAAGACGGCTGGCACCGGAGCTGCCCCCCTTTTTTTCTGTTTTTTCTGCTGGGTAAGGGGGTTTAGAAACCTCACTGACCCAAGGCAATTCTCTTTCTGTGAGCCCATGAAGCTGTGGGACTGCAGGGACTTCAGAGAGGACGCACCGGGCTGCAGGGACAGGATGAGGGATTTAAACATACAGAAAGCCCATTAGTTTATAACTTGAGTCAAAGCGGCTGTGATCTGTGTGGGAAATGTCCATGCAGGGGTCTGTGCTGGCGGTGGGGAAATGCCTCGCCTGCTTGGAGTACATACGTAAGTAGCTTGTCTTTTGCGCATGTTTGGGCTTCACATGTGCGCCTTATTAATCATTTTCTTGCGTAATATCTCTCAGAAATGTTAATGCATTTCATCCAGAATTAATGCCATCCGTGTTTGTTCTTATGTTAATGATGCTGGAGCTCTTGTCCTCTCTGCCTTGTCTCCTGACAGCGGAAAACAAGGCTTTTTTCTTTGCCACATCCAATGGAAAAAAGTCTCTGCCCCGAGGGTGGGATTTCGACATTAGGGGATGCAGTGGTGTTTTTATTCCGTTACTGCAGGAATGTGCAGAGGAAAGTGTTTGGTTCAATAGGGACGGGCCCTGATTTTAGAACAATTATGGATTTATGATTTTTATATTCCCAGAAAATTACGTCCTCAATTGTTCCCCCCTTCCCGCGCCTCGGAATCCCTCCCTGCAGTGATCCCACCGGACGCGTAAAGCTGAGAGATCAGACCAGGTTTGTGTTGCGATAGTTTTCATCATCACACCGTGACTGAGAGTTTCTCTGTCTGGAGTTGTAGTTAGCTCACACTCCTTCCTCTCCTGAAGAGACTCTGGAGGGTTTTACTTGTAGGTCACTCCCATTTATAGGAACTGAACGCGTCTGTGCCAAATAGTACTTCCGAATAATTTGGTGATATTACTGCCAAGTTTTCTTCCTTGGAAATAAACACGCTGATATGATTATGTATTGAACCTCTCATGTGCTGTGGCGCAGTTTTTATTGAGCACGCTTTCAGTGTTTGAACGCAGCATCACGGGTCAAGCTTTGTTTACGCATGCCCATTCTCAGATGCCCATAACTATTTCAATAGCTATAATAATAATTTTTCATGCTTTTTTCTAATACTTTTATATTATTTTATTTTCTCGCATTTTTTTTGTCTTTTTTTTTTAACCTGTGTGTGATTTCCAGTTGTGCAAAGTACAAATCACATTTACTTTAACACTGTTGCTATTTCATTATAATTTCAAGTACTTATACTTTATTGGAGTTTTTCCATTTTCTGCTATTCTACTACTTTACTTCACAACTGAGAGAGAAAATGACACCCTTTTTCACCCTTTTCTTTCTTTCTTTTTCTTTTTATTTATTTATCTATTTTTATTTATTATTCTA